GCAGGACCTGGCTGCTCACAAATGGCTCCTGACCTGTTCCTGTGTGCAGGGAACATTGCTGGAAATCTCTGCACAGAGCTGGGTGTCCTCCTTGCAAACTGCCCCTGAACAGAGAAAAAATAACAATCCACATAACCTATTTATTGTTCCTTTTATGTCTCAAACCTGTGCTTCCCTGCCCAGACAGGCGGCCCATGTGGCCAGAGAGCAATTGTAGGGCAGAACAATCCATTAGGAGCATCTGGATGCATACCCTGAAGCCACAATTTGTCCTTGCTGCTCTTACTTTCTTCTCCTTAATTGTATTCCCTGCCTGCTGGTGTGTGAGAAGTATTTCAGTCACTGGAATCACTTCACTAGGACATATCACTTGGAGCTGCTTCAGAGATGATTTAATCTTTGCACAATGCTTTGAATTTGTAAGTAATATTATTGCTATGTACCTTGCTCTCTCCTGGAAGATTCCCCTAGTGCTCTGAATTTTCATGGAACTGCAGCTAGAATTGCCTGGCAGACTGGCTTCTCCCATCTTTTTTTGCATGCCAGCCAATCAGGAGAACAGCAATGTGTGCTATCTGGGATAACATCCCAAAGTAAACGCCTGCACAAAGGGCTCTGAGTAATGCTGTAGTAATTCCTGATCACAGAAGTGCCTTCAGGGAAACATGAGATGGATTCCCTTCTTAAACCACAGAAAATAATAGCAGGGTTTCATTGCTGCTTTAGTCAAGCCAACATACATTCCCTTCCCTCAGAAAGTATGAAAGCAGCAAATTGCCCCAAATGGGCCTGGTTTTGTGCAGACAACAATGTAAGTCATAAAATCTATAATATCCCAAAACAATTGCCCAGAGCTGAACAATGGGATACACTGGGTGAAAGCTAAGCAGGAATAATGCTCCCTTAAGGAAAGACTCATTACAAATCATAGAAGACAGGGTGCAACAAGGAAGAGTGAGAGCCAGAAAACCCTCAATTTTGATTTGTGGCAACACAGACTCCTAGGAAGAAAAATAAAAGAAAAGAAAAAGAAAATAAACTTTCTACTGTAAAAACAAACCAAAAAAGCCAACCCAAAAACACTAACAAAATAAAAAATCCCAAAAAAACAAAGAACCAAACAAGAAAAAGAAGACTTCCTAAGTGTACTCTGATGGGAACATTTCCGTGTTCAAAAGGGTCCAGAGACCAATCTGTGAGCAAAACTCACCTTCCCACTGAAATTCCAAGTGGGAACCTGAGGAGGAATGAAGTGCTTGAACACTGCACAGCTCCAGGACTAAATCAGTTCAGCTCTTCTGGGGAAAGGAAATTCAGAAAGGAAATACAATGGAAACAGGCACAGAACTCGGCTCAGTGGTTTTTAGTTCCTCAGTCTTCTCCTTTCCAAATACCCCTGCAAGGCCATGTGCATATTCTACTGCTCTGAATGTGTCACTGCATTTGTCATTTCCCAGATCCCAGTAACTCCATTGCCTCCTGCTTCCTAAAGTAATCCTGAGTGACAGCATGCAGATCTAATGCTGTAAAAGCATTATTTCAAAGCCAAATGTGCTCTGTCAGGAGCTGCAGCAAAGCTGGAAGCAGCAGGTCAGTCCATGTTCTGCAGAGCTCACGCCGCAATTCAGCGGTGTGCTTCCCCATCTGTTGGCAGAAGCAAGGAGTAACACCAGAGCTCCTCAGGAAAACTCATCTGCATTCAGATGGAGTCAAGGGCCCCATTCTGTGTTCCTCAGAAATGTCAGCCCCCGATTTCACAGCCTGGGGAAAAGAGCTGTTCTCCACATGGGAAATGTCCCTGCCATGCTTGGTGGAGGGGTTTTACAGAAACATGGACTTGTATAAAATCCATGGATTTGATAGAAACAGCCAAAAAGAGGAATGCACAGGAAACATTTTTTGAATAGCTGGAGTAGGAAAAGTCTCCACCTGTCCATGTCCTTGCTGTGAAATCTGCGTTAGGATTTCTGTGTGTCTGTAAGAACAAGAGGATCCCTTATCTATCCAGGGAGTAACTACCCAGGGAATAACGAGGCATGCTCCAAATGCAGTTTAGCAGTCACTGCTTTTTTTTTCCACTGTCTTCGTGAAATTCTCTGCTGGGCTGCACCAACCCCAACTATGGTAATTAACAATTCAGTTGGAATGGAGCCTGATTTAAAGCTGAGCTCTCTCAGTGCAGAATGTGAAGCAGGAAAATACCCGAGCAGAGAAAAGCTCCCTGGAGAAACCTGTCCACAAACACAGAGTCTCCTGCTGATGTGTTCTTAGAAGAACTTCTAAAGTTCTGGCACAACATGAACCCACCCCTTCTAGAGGTTTGGTGACCAGTATTCCACCTGAAATCACATGGCTGTGTGAGGAGGCACGAAGGCACAGGTATCCATCCCTCTGCCAAGGGTTATCTCTGCAGCTGTGGCTGCTATTGATTTGTTGTTTCCTTCTCTTTTAGATATCGATGTTAGGAAATTGAGACTTCCAAAAGATCTGGGCTCAGCTTTCTTGACACTGAAACAGTGGGCTTTATCCTAGGAAGACCTCTAACCTATCAAGTTCATCTGGAAGCTTTTAATTTAAATGGGGGAGGAAAAAAAGGAAAAAGAAGAAACCCTCCACATTTTAACATAGAAAGGCACAATTCTTTCACAATTGCCACCATTTATTTTCTGACTACAAACTATGTAAGTTGTAGCATCTGCCCTTTGCTCAAATTAATAATTTTCAAAATTATTTCCATCTAATTATTTTAAAATTATATTACCATCTAATTTACTTTTGATTCCAGATTAGCTGAAAGTATAGAGAACTAAACTCTTTCCCCCCCGTTTGGATTAACTGATAAACAATGGAGAGATGAACAGGGAGAGGATTGCTTAGAAAGACAATCTGCCTTATGCCCTGGTTACTGCATATCAGGAAACGAGTCAAATGTGAATAAACGTGAACGTGAATAAATAGGTATGTTCAGAACTACTTAAGTACAGAATTACTGATATGTATGAGCATTTCTACACAGTTGTGTCCCAAACCCTGACAAAATGAGACAAACAGGAACAGAGGTTGGGAAGGAGAGAAGGAGCAGTGGGACAGAAAGGAGTGCATTTTCGACTAGGGCATGTTGCTGTTTTGGGGTGAAGGAGTGAAAGATGAGACTGAGGAATAAAGGAGAGGATGGAGGAGAAAGGTCCCGAAGCAGAATTGGAAATACGTGCTGGAACTGAGCAGGGGCAGTGGTGGATGCTCATCCTCATGGCCCCAGCACAGGGAACAGCTGCTGTTTCCCTCAGACATGGATCTGTACTACCTAAGTGTAAAACTAATATTTGGGCTGGGCCATTAGTCACTGTTAAGGGGCCCTTTTATCTCCAGTAAACTCCTTCCTCACAGAGTGTCCCACAAACCAGGCTTTGCATGCAGCGACCTTGTGAATTCTGAAGTCGAAGCCAAATGTTCAGCCCTGGCCAGGAATTAAACTTTGGTTTTATTTTGGTGTGAGGAATCTGAGGCAGGCAGTAAAACAGAAAAGTGCTGAAAGACACAGCTCTGGAACTCAGCATCACATTTTTGGTTTAGGAAACCAAGTCTGTCTGAACAAGACTTTTCTGGCACAGGAAAATTGAGTATTGTTGCTGCTGAAAAAGAAACCAAGTGATCTCTCCAATACCTGCCAGTCCAAAACAAAGATCACTTTTAGTACAGAGCAGCGGCCCATCATCACTTTAAGAGACAGAATTTTCCAGTTTTTTATATTTAATCAGATCAGTAACCGTATCTGCGTTCCACTTGCCCTAAATTGCATTATTTGTGAACAAATGTGCATATGGCAGAACAGCACTACTGTCATCTCTAAATATGACCACCTTATCTGTTAATTAATTTATCTGCTTATTAATGAGCAAAACCATGGGTTAACAATATCACTCCTGTGCATCCCCCAACTCTCCAGTCCTTCTTCAAAAGGATTTGGGAACCAGGAGTCCATTCTGAGATTTTAAAAGGCCAAAAGGTTAAAATCCTGTAGCCCTTCCAAAGCCCTCTGTAATGCTGTACAGTCCAGTGAATAATGAGCGACAAAGCAATCCTGTCATTTAGAGCAACGCCAGGAGGGAGGTCCCAGCTATCACCAGAGCTTCACCGCATCCTTCCCATCCATCCAGCCGGCGCTGGAGCAGGGACCTCCGGAGCAGCCTGGAGACGCCCCTCGGTATCTCCCGGGGTGCCAGGACCCCCCGGCCCCGCGGGGCAGCACCTCCCGGGGTGCCAGCAGCGGCCGGAGGGTCCCGCTGAGGCCGAGCGGGAGGAGGCGGCGGTGGGAGCGGCCGCGCTGTGTCAGACCGGGGCCCCTCCCCTGCTCCCCGCCCGGAGAACCGGGGGAACCCGTCCGGCCGGTCTGGCGGCGGCTCCCAGGGAGCCGGGGCGGGCGCGGGGCCGGCGGGGCTCGGGAGGCGCTGAGCTGAGCGGGGACCCGCGGGCACAGGTGGGGCCGGGGCCGGGGGGCTCCTGTGGGCCAGGGGCTGCTGGAGAGGGGCCGCGGGGTTCGGGGCTGCAGGGCAGGGGGCGCGGTACCTCCATCACCCCCAGGACGTCCAGCGCCACTTCCGCAGGTGCCTCGCTCGGGGCGGGCCGGGACACAGCCCTGCCCCGACCCCCGGCCCGCCCCGCCGAACAGGAGGGGCCGGAGCTGACCCCGGGCGTACCTGGAACGCCTTCCCTTCTCTTCTCTTTCCTTCCCAGAACATCACCTGCTCGGAACGTTGTTTTGGAGGCTTTCAAGCCCGGCGGGGCAGCGCGGACGCGAACCCCGCGGGAATCAGCGTCCCCCTCGCTCGCCCCGCGGGATGTGCGGCCGCTGATCGTCGACCTTAGCACAGTCTCTCCAGTCTGGAAGTCTCAAGAAAGCGCAGGAGTTTGCTGGGAGGTGAGGTAAGGCACGGGCAGCCAGCGCAGCTCGGCTGTCTGCGGTCTCCCCGAGCCCCCCGGGCACTGACTCGAGCCCGTGGCCCTGGGCTGGTTGCCCTGCTCCTGGCTTTCCCCCCTATACCTATAAATGATGAAAACAGCCTTCAGGGCTGCGGTGTGATTACTCATTAGTCAGTGTTTATACAGCCATCAGAGCAGCAATAGGTTTCTGCATTAAGGAGTAGTAATTCTGAAACAGAAAATACTGGACAAGTTGCTTGTGAGGTCAGGACTTGCTTGGGAAAAAAATTAAAATAAATCGGTGTTTTGGTCCTTACCTCGTGCTTCGTGCCTATAGCTTAAATAGCATCCCTTCCTTGGAGTCGGGATGGAGCTGTGCTAAATGGAGCAGTTAATGGAGCATTTCACCGCTGGCTCGGGTGTCAGCAGGAGCGGATTGAAACCGAAGAGCCAAAAGCACCGGGAGCTGTGGCAGGGAGCGGTGCTGGTAATGAATAACAGTGAGGGGTGTTTGGTCTCTGTGGAGAGCCGGGGCCGCTGGGATTTTGGGGTGGCCTTGTGCAGTCCCCACCTGTGTGGCTGCTGCTGGAGTCCCTGGATTAACCCCCTGTAAGTGTCTCTGCTGGATCAGGCTTGCTCAGGTCCCTGTTTGGTTGTGGGTTTGATTAGTCTTTCTCCTCAAAGCCTGGTTTAGAAGTCGAGTAAGTATCCGGCCATTTTTGAAGTTTTCCTTGTCAGCTTCTCCATTGGTGGTGATCACCTTAGAGTCTGGTTGCTTTCGTGCCTGTCCCAGGCCTCTGTCTCTGTGTTAACTTGTAGCTATTGCAGAGATTATTTTCAGTAACTTCTAAACTGCTCTCACTTAATTCTGCCATATAAGATGGCGTGTGACTGTTCTGGACCTTTGCTTTGAAGCTTGGGATGGTGAATTCTAAAAGCCACTTGCACTGAAGCTATTTGAAAATGAGCTGCAATTTATTTCTCTGCTCTCTTGTTGTGTGGCTGTTGTTTGAGGGCTGAGAGCATGAAGCGCTGCCTGCTCTTAAATGTGGAAAGGGGATTGGTGGTGTTTCAGATCTGAGAGGTTTTGATGTTCTTCCTGGCCTTGGGCTTTGTCAGGCCTCTGTTAAATGAGATGCTTTGTGCAGCTGTAATTGAATGCAGGACGCTGGCCAGGAGCTTCTGAAACCCAAGCCTGGCTCTGTCAGTGACTTACCCAATGGCCTTGGGCAAGTCACTTAACCTCTCTGTTTCTGTGCTTGTCGTGGTGAAGGGCATGATTCTCACTCGAGACTGAATCTGTGAGTCCTGCTCGGTGCTGAGCTCTGTGACAGCTCTGCTTTCTGGCCAGCTTACAGGATCCTTCTGGAACGTGTGCTATGTTTTCCCCAGTGTTCTGATATCAACTGGAAATATGTTTTTCATTTGACAATTTGACAATTGATGGTGATAGGAAAGACGTGCACTTATGTCTTTACAAACAAGGTGAGAGTGTTAATGTCTTTGAAATGTCTCTACCAACCTCAAGCCACAAGTCTGTCCCAGAGCCCAGTTTGACTCCTGAACCTTAGGGTAATAGGACAAATGGCTTCATACAAAGCCCATTGCAGAAACCAGACAGCCTGAGCTTCTCAACTTCGAGGTGAAATGCCAGGTTCAAGGGGAGCTATGGGGTAGGAAGTTTGGAAAGGCTGCACCTCAGCTGGTGGGGAAAGGACGAGGACAACACGCACTCAGGAGTTCAGGATAAAACTCGGGAGAGTTCAGGAGAAACTCCACAGGGGTGTACCCCAGAGGACTCTCTCCCTTTATTTGAATGAAGTTGCAGGACTCCTCTGTCTCCTTGGTGGACACTGGCTTTTCATAGCATGATTTTTCCTCACAATGGGCAATTTCAGCAAGTTCATGGGTGCCCTTGGGTACAAAATGCTGTACAGTGATGCACAAGGAGATGTAGAACAACACATTAAAAGAAAAAAGGGGGTGAGAAGAAGCACTGTAGGGGAAAACAGGAGACAAATCAAGGAAAGAGCCATTTGCCAAAGTGACTCTATTCCTGAGAGGAGGGAGAGGAGCAGCATGGAAAAGTCTGGAGAACTAAGCAGAAATTTCTCTTTTTCTTAAGAAATTTTGCAAGGCAAATTAATATCACGATTTTTCTAAAGAATATTTTTTTGTTATTGCATGCACAAAAGGAGGAATCTGGCAATAAACCATTTTCTACATTGTTTCATTGCAGATGGAGCCTGATCTGAAGCTGAACGTGGGATTCTCTGTGAGTGGCTGGTGCCAACATCTGTGATGCAGTCTGGGCTTCAGTCACACACTCCATTGGGTAAAGGTCAGTTTAGGAAAATGGCTTCAGTGTCCATTGTAGATGTTGCCAGAAAAGATGGATTAATAGAATCTCCCATCTTGATAGCAGGAATTAACCTTTATTTAGTCCAGTTAAAAATACCTGCTAGTTTTGATGGTGACAATGATTGCCAGGAAAAATCGACAAAGTTCCAAAAATCTTCTACTCCAAGCAATGCAGTTTAAGCATGCACAAAAATAATTCTTTTTTCCTCTGTTAACCTCAGTATGGGCTGTTGTATAATGTGAACCTCGAGACCAAGGTAACACCCTGTAAAGGGCAGGTTGAAACCCCTTCAGAATGCACTGGAGACTGCAGCTTGAGCAAAGGTTACCAAGCCTCTTATCTTCTGCAAAGATAGTTTGCCTTGCCTTGGACTTTAAATGATGGAACTCTGCAGATCTGTTAATGAGAAATCCTAGGGCAGATAATGGGGAAAATGATGATTTTGTTTCTGCAATGGCCCATCTTCAACCATTTTTGTGTAACCTCAGGCAGCTGGCCTGTAAGCTGTGGGTCTCTTTCTTGGAGTGATTTTCAGTTAAATTCTTTGTGTCTAGTTAATCTCTTCATTGGGTCAAATCCTGTTGGCTCATCAGGATAAATTCATTATATTGGAATGTCCTTCATACTTATTGTCATACAAGTTTTAATAAGTAGCTACACTGGAGAGTATGCAATAGCCCCTGCTTTCTATTTTTATTTTTTTCCCCAAGATGGGACTTGAATGTTTGTCAGCAGCGCAGAATTGTTCCTCTCTCCTCTCTCTAGAGGTTTTCAGGGTCTTGGTGTCTCAGCTTGCTTGAATAGGTCTGCAGTGTGTTCAGGGGAGGAACTGTCACCTCCCTGCAGCCAGGTTTGGCACAAGCAGCTTGGTGGTGCCAGATGGTACAGTTTTACTGTGGTGTTTGCCTCCTGATGGTGCAGATAATCGGGGTTCTTGTGGCATTGGAGGAGGCACTGGGGTTGGTTCCTTGCAAAGGAAAGATCTGTGGGTGTTGCAAGGTTGGCTGTGCACAATAGCAATTAAAAAGTCTCTTGGAGCTGGAATTAGTCTTTAATCCTCAGAGTTTGTACAGCCTCCAGAGCAGTAGTAGGTGCCTGTGTTAAAGTACTACTGTGAATCAGATACACTTTGTATTTAAAAATGGTGTGTGTAAAATGAGGGGCTGTGTGGAGGCAGCAGTCGATGGATGGTGCAGCCAGGCTGACTCCTCTGGGACCTGTCACTAGCAGAACAGGATCCCCAGGGGTTTCTCACATACCAGGGAGAGCTGGAGTCCTTGATGGCTCTGTTGTGTGGAGATCTCGGGTGTGACACGTTGTGTCTCGGGTATGACATGTGCTGTCCTGGGTTGTGTGGGTGCATGGCTTCCCCCCGAGCATTTTATCTGCAGCCATACTGGAATCACTCTGATTTGAACCTTTTGGGGTGATTCTGAGTCACCTCGTGTTGGGCAGGTGTTGGCAGGCTCCAGTGGGAGCTGTTTCCAGGACCACAGTGCAGGGAAGCTGTGTAGGGCCAGGAGTTGGGTTTCAGTATCTTACACTCTCGAGCCTCAGCTGGCTCAAAGTACATAGCTGAACTCCTGAGCTCAGCTTTCTCCAAGGCATCCCAGGAGCTGGGCTCTCCCTTCTTAGGGTGCATGTGACAGCCAGTGTGTTTCAGAACAAATGGCTACAGGAAATCATCCCCTTCCAGATATAATTTTGGGGTGTAAAGTAGTCATTCAGGGAAGTAACTGGAGTATTGTGTGTGAAATAGGTATAAATTGATCAGCTTTAAGCATGTAATTTACATGGCAATCTACCTGGAGTTCAGTAGTGTCTGGAGTGAAGGTTATTTCCTTGGCCCATTTGTGCTGATTCATGCTATTTCAGCTGCTGTTTTCTTTTCCTCTCAAAATGTCATAAAGATTACCTGGAAGGTTTTAGTTGTTCAGCAGACCCTTCTATCTGCCTGCCCAAGCACTTGTTACCAGTAACAGTCCATATCTGCTCTGAGTAATCAGTGATATCTCATCTGGGTGGATGGATATCTCGTCTATTGGAAGCAAATGCAGTTTATGATTTGCCAATTTCCCTGTAGCAGCTCTGGTTCCAGGGAGATGAGTTGCTGAATACATTTTTAATGAAGGCTGACACTGTGTGAAAGCCTTTGGCTGGGATCCCTGAGGGGAGAGCAGAAACACAATATCCTGCTCTTGGAAGCCTTGGCTTGGCTTTGGAGGGGGTGGTAAAAATAACTGTGGGAGCATTAACTGGTACCAGTTGGGTTATTATCAGGCTGGAGGGTGGATCACGTCCCGAGAATGTTTCCTGGGCTGTCTTTGCAATTCCAATTTTCAGGTCTCACATGCTGTTAGAGCTGTCCCTTAATCCTGTGCCCATGGATGGAAGATCATTCTGAAACCTCTCAGGGTATAAGCTGGGATATGGATTTGAGCCCCTTGAATACAGGTGTCTCCTCTGGTGGAGCCATCCAAGTGCTCTATGGGCTCTGATTTCTCCTTTGGGTGCTGGGGTTGCAGCCCTGTGAGTGTCCTCTCCGTTGCTGTTCCCTGCCTGGCTGTCTTTGTCCGTGTTCCCATTTTGGCTCTGACTCCCCATTACTAGTGAGGTGAGCAACGTGGGACAGCTGAAGATGGCAGAATAATTGCTGCTGGCTCTTGGGGAAAATGTAATTGGAGTGATCATACATCTGCCAGCATATTCCTGTGGGAGCCTCGTCCCAGAGGTTGATGTCAGACACAGCTTTCTGCTGCAGTTTTGGGAGTTTGTATTCAGCCTTCTGTAAGCAGGTTTTGTTTTGCAATGCCAGATGCTCCAGTAACACCTCGTAAAGAGATAAATCTTACCTGTATGAGGATCAGGCTTTGCATTAAAGTACTTTTTAAATGCCAAGTTAAATCAGCAAAATATCTTGCTGTAGCTTTTTTGTCCTGTTTGGACTCCAGAGACCTGAAGCAGTTCAGAAGGGTCTCTCTGAGTTACTTTTTGTACTATTTGAGTTTGCTTTATGATTCTTGCTTAAAATAGTGTGTTCTGAAAGAGCAGTGCATGGCCAGGTTTGAGCAGCTGTTAAGCTGCCAGAACGTATGAGGTAGTGCAGAATGTGGTGCCAAGGACAGGAACACGCAGGGTGTGGGCTGTGCACAGGCTGTGGTGGCCAGCAGGTGTGGAATGGTGAGTCTTGTGCTTCACATTGTAGGTCTTTATACCCATAATAAACACAAAATAACAGCTTTAGTGGCCTTTTAATCCTTTTTCTATACATCTCCCTTGTTCTAGGTGGATTCTTTAACTTTCAGGGCACTTTGAGTGATGATCTGATTTGCAAGAAGTCACTGGAGGTTCATGCAGCACTGTATGTGCAGTGACTCTCCAGAGAAGAATTTAGAGTAAGACTGGGTTGTTGTTTACTGCCTTGAAACAAATGCAGTAAGTGGAATTTTTACAAGGTTTAATTTATTCTGAATTATCTGGTGCTTGCCCTGAGGCAGAACCAGACACAAAACCTGAGTGACTGAAGCACTGGAATTTGCCCTTTTAGTAAATAAACTGGATCAGGTGTACTTAAACCTATGTTTAATACTATTTTGATCTCTTTATGTCCCCATGTGTCCATACTACTGTTGGATCAGCAGGATTTTCCAAGCTAGAAGGCAGAACTGGGAGCTGGGCATTGCTCCCCAGCTGCCCAGGCAGTGTGAGCTGACACTTCCTTTAGGCTGAAAGGGTTAATGTAAGGTTTTCTGATCTGAAACTCATCTGAAACAGTGTGAAAGCCCCTGTTGTTAAGTCAGGAACTAGAAAATGAGGGCCATGCAGCCCAGAACCATCTTTTAAAAGTGTTCTCTGAGTATTTTATCAAGCAGTATTTAACAAGTATTGTTCCATCTCAGGCCCTCCAAGAACTGTTTCCACAGTCCTCAGAATAGTGACCACATGAAAAATCAGTACTGACCTCCTTTCTTCTTGCCATGTTTGTTTCCCTTTAGTTTCTGCTGGGTGTGCACTCTCTTACCTACTGCCTCAGGATTAGTTGGCATCTCTGCTGCTCCATGCTGTCGGTTCCTGGTTCCTCCCATCTCCCCTTTCACATCCTCTGAACTTCTGACACGGCTCTGCCCTCCCAGGCAGCCCTTTTATTCCGGACTAGGTGTCAAGAAACTTAACTCTAAACCAATTTGTCAGCCTGTCACGGGAGGACTCCTTTGCCCTGGGTCCCACAGCAGCTCTAGTCTCTCTCCCAACTGCGGGAGCTTTTCCGCAGGCTCCCGGCCAGCCCCGGGCACAATTTCACTGCCTCCTGCAGCATGCTAATGGTGTGCCCGCAGCACAGAGAACTTCTGCTGCCTGCAGGGCAACACTTAATGAGATCTCCTCTCTTAACGAGGTTTCCCAGTCGGCAGTTTAGTTCTCTGAGGAGGGAAAGTGACTACAGTTAATTTAACTTACCCCACATCACTTCACTGGCATTCATTCCCAGTGCATTCCCAGTGAGTATCACAGGCATTGCAGGAATTGCCATGTAGCCACACATCTCTAATGGAAAACAAAAGCAGCTTGGTTTTGATATCTCATCTAACCCTTTGCACGACTAATTCGTTCATTAATCATTAAGCGGTTAATCAGTAAAGTTGAATAGACTAACAGCTGAATCTCTGTGTGCCAAGGATATGAGCTTGTTTCAGTTGTTGTAGAGTGAGAGCCAGTCAAAGATCTGCTGGCATTTTGTGTTCTAGGGACTGTGTGTGGGAGGAACTTGTTCTCCCCAGCAGTCCCCACAAGAGGTGTTAGCAGGACAGAAAGAACTAAAGCACTGAAAAGAGGAGAAATAAAACAAAAATGTCACAGTGAGGTATTCAGGAGCCTGAGTTAGAGCTTGAGGTGTATTCTCTAACTCCAAGGTTATTTAGGAAAACATGATCTGTCACAGAAGTCTCAGGTTCTACACCTGTGTTAGTGACCAGCTCTCATACTCCTGGGTAATTCCATCAGGGAGAAGTTTCCAACAGCTTGGGTGGGTCTTGGGAGAAGTCATGTGGATTCCTGTACAGCCAGCCGGGTGGATTTGTTGTATTTTGTGGGTGTCAGTCTGTGCTGGGCAGGCCCTGCAGTGCTGTGGCTCTGGAGCATGGCCTGCCTTGGGCTCCCTGCCAGCAGCCTGCCACTGGAGTAGCACAGTCAGTGCTCATGGAATATTTATCTCACTCTTATAGGAGATATTAGGGAGGGGACACGATTAAGCTTTGCAAAACCAGAAGCTGAGAGGGATGTCAGCAGGTTTGGTGCCAGCCCTGCTGGTTGCTGAGTTTGTTAGGAAAGGCAATGCCATGGTGGTGAAGCAGGTCAAGGGGCACGCTGGGAAGCTGATGTGTAGTTCAGGATTAGGATCACACCCAGTGATGGCTGGAGATGTCCAGAGTGGAGGCCCAGCCGAAGGGAACATGGGCATGGCCACAGCTCAGCTGGAGACCATCCCTCCTCTGATGCAGCTCTGAGCCAAAATGCATCCCATGGTGTCCAGGGGTGTTTGGACACCAAGATGTGGGATTTTGCAGTGACAAACACTGATGTTCAGCCCATGGGAAGAGAGAGGAAGCACCCTGGTTTGGGTGAGGCTGGGCAGGCCGGGATGGAGGTTCAGCTGTGTGACCCAAACCCTCGATGTCTGACCTGGAGCTCGGTGCCCAGCTCTGTGTCCCACTGCAGCCAAGCAGGGCTCCAGCTCCTGTGGCTCCTCAGGGCATGATGTAATGGCCACTGGGAGATGTGTTCGTGCTCTCCCCAGTTCCTACGTCCTGTGTTGGGAGCACACGGTGTTGCTGGGGCTGCAGTATAGCAGAACAGTAAGGAAGGGCTGGCTGGCACAAGAACTGCCCCCTGACTCTGGGCAGTGCTGGAAAACCAAGCCCATGCCCTGTGCTGGTTTCAGATGTGGGGTTTGGTGGCCAGCACCAGCAGAGTAAAATTAGATGTGGTTTCCAGCACTTGCTATGCGAGCTCTTTTCCTAACTTGTCCAAAATGCTGGCAGGGTGCTAGCAGCATGATCTCAGAAAGGGATTCAGAGACCACCTTCGAGGAGGATTCCCAGCCCAACGATGAGGTGGTGCCGTACAGTGACGATGAAACAGAGGACGAGTTGGACAGTCGGCAGCCTGGGGCTGAACTGGGACCAAACCAAACCAGCAGGGACACTGAGGAGAGCCGAGATCCTGGGAAAAAAGGTAACAACATCACGAACTTCATTTGGGGAGAATACGATGCTGGATGCAGAGGCTGAGCCTCAGGGACCGATTGGATTCTGTGTTTATTTCTCAGGTAAGGTTTGGAATGGCTTATCTGACTCTGGAGGAGTAATTGATAGCAGTTCAGTTTAACAAATGTCAGGATGAAACTCAGCTTCATTCCAACCTGCAGCCCAGTTCTGTGCTACTGCTCCTTGCGTAAAGTTAATGAGCTGCATGGTGACCTCCTCCTAATTAAGGCAGGACCTGGATGTACATGTGCTCTGGGAACTGTTCAGACAGACCTTCTTGTACTTGTTTTCCCAGTCCTCTGGAAGTGGGCTCCAGCATAATAAACACTTCACTGTGTTCAGTCAGTGTGAGCAGATTTCCACTTCACTGCTCATTTTGTAGCCTCATGAGTTCCTGAAAGGTAAAAGGTGAGTAGGAGGAGTTCAAAGGAGCCAGCAGGTACAGCATGTGGCTGCTGCCTGTGTAGGAACAGCAGTGGGAGGAGCCTTTCTGGTGTTCCTGTTCTGAACCTCTGCCCAAGAAACACCTGTAGCTCCCCTAAATTCCCTTTTCTCATGCTGCAACATGAGTATTTTCAATGTAACCAGAGACTGGGTAATTTATACAGATTTTTTCCTGTTTGTGTGGGAACAGTTGATGAGCTCTCATTTCATAACCACCTGTTATGTGTTTTTATTTTACAAACACCTGTCACATGTTTAGTTTAAGACTTTTTTTTATTATGACATCCTTTAAAGTTGATGAATTACCAAAGCAGCTTGCTAAATATTAGGTGTTAGTACCACAGTTTAAAGTAATTTTGAGGAGCTTCCTTCCTGCAGGTTTTACCTCAGACCTAATTTGCCAGTTTTCCATCAGTTTTCTCAACACTGCAATGTTTTTGGAATATGTTAAAGAAATTCTTATGTAGACTTTGTGATTTTCTTTATGCCCTGTCATTTGGCAAAATTTAGTAACTTCCTCAATTCATGCATATAATCTGTTAATTCAAAACATGGTTCTTCGAGATAAATATTTCTCTATTATCTTCTGGGCTTGTAGCCAAGATGCTAGAAATGAAAGTTGTGTAGTCGCAGGAAAAGTCCAGATATGTCGGTCTGGAATTTGCTCTATGGTGGGTGGAAAAAAAAAAAAGTCTTTACACTTGGATTTGGGTTTTGAAGTGTTAGTCACAGCCCTGCAGGCCCCACGCCCCTGCCGCCGGGAGTTTCACCCCATCCACGGGTGAAGATCTATGAAACCAGGAAGAGCTCCCATTAGGGACAATCACTGTGGGCTGAGGACAGGGGGAGATGCTTGGCGGGTGAGTCAGGAAAGCTGCATTTCAAAATGCTGCCTGCGTCATCCTTCCCGGGCAGGCAGAGCTGCGGGGAGCTGGCTTCGAAACCGGGGATGAATGAATTCCTGGGATGTGGGCAGGGCTGAGTGCGTGGCTGGGCTGCAGGCAATGGGAGAGGAAGGACCTGGCAGGGAAAGCGGTGGCCCGTGAAAGAGCGGGCACAGAAAATTACCTGATGGATGCAATTCCTGCTCCTCAGTTTTCTCACAATCGAACAAAACTAGTGGCTGAAGAAATAAAATTAGGACTTCAGATTTGTACTTTTTTATGGGTATGAATGGAAACCGTGGCACAGTGTGGTTAAATCAAATAATTGCCTTCAAAAGGTGAACTGACCTCTTCATTTCCAGCAAGATACCCGGGTTGGAGTGCTTAGCATTTCACGGGCATCAGAGAAGCAAACCAAAAGCGGGAAGGGAATTTGACATGAATAAATGTTACTCTGCAGGTTTTCCACAGAAATTTCAAATGTTAAGCAAGGCTTCTTCCTACCTCTGAATGCACTTGAGTTGCTAATAAAGCCAAACAGCCTGGAAATGTCTTGGAAAGGTTTTTTTAAAGGATATGTACTATAAAGAAGGTGCCAGTCTTGCTTCAGTCGAAAGTAACTTTAAAGTATGGATTTGAGAGAAAACTTGAAAGTGGCAGATTTGTCCCCTCATGTTTATAGCACTTTTCGACCCCTTTTGTCTCTTCCAGACTGCAGCTGGCAAGTTAAAGCAAACGATCAGCGCTTCTATGACCAGCCAAGCTTCAAGAGAACAATCTTCCTGTGCTTCAAGAAAAGCAAATATGCGGTAAGTTATCTTATGCCAATGAGGTGCTAATTGTCGGGTGAATGATTCCTTAATCCGATAAGATGTATGGAATGGCTGGTGAGTGGTATAAAAGCCACCGTTCGTAATTCCACAGTGTTTCCAGCAGAGCAGGGGAAGAATAACTGGGTTGGGGTTTTGGAATGGAAAATCAGGGTATCAAGAGACTGTTGAAAGTAAGATGGAGAATTAGGAGCTTAAAAATATGAACTGTACATTTGTGTTAGAAGTAGAAACTATGTTTTGTGATTGATGTTTGGGTTTCTCCCACAGGGAAATGCAATTAAGACATACAAGTACAACCCCATCACTTTTTTGCCTCTGAATCTGTTTGAACAATTCAAGAGAGCAGCCAACTTCTATTTCCTTGTTCTTCTCATATTGCAGGTAAGCAAGACGGAGAATACTCACTGTGAAGGGAATTTGAGCTCTGTAATATTTATGACACAATTCAGTGCTGTCCTGCCAGGGAATTGAGGGGCACTATCTGAACTGCTGTAGAGACCAAAGGCATCATAACAGAAACCTGCAACAAATCTGGATGAGCTATGGCAGAGTTCTGGGATGAGCTAGTTGCACAGAATTAGAATGAACTCGTTGCAGAGCTCATGAAGTTCATGAGGGGAAGATGTTTCTTGAGTTGATCTCAAATCAGAAGCATGAACAGACGATATGAGTCAGTGCAATTGTTAAAGGGACTGACTCCTAAGTAGTATAACAAGGGACTGACTCCTAAGTAGTATAATGGCCAAACTCTTCCCATAGACTTTTGTTCATTTTTACAACCTGACTTAAAATTCTCTCTGATGTGTTCTTTTTTCTCTAGTCAGGCCACTATGAAATATCTCTGATTTAAATGTTTGATGATCCTGTACTGCACTGATTTTATTGGTCTTTTGTAGTCGATTCCTCAAATAACTACCCTGTCATGGTACACAACGTTGGTGCCCTTGCTCTTGGTGCTGGGAATAACTGCAGTCAAAGACCTGGTGGAGGACATTGTAAGAAGCATGTTCTGTTAATATGAAAAGCAAAACTCACCCAGTGTGGCCCGTTTCTCCTGTTGTGCCACAGAGCAGGGAGTACATTCTTTGTTCTGGTTTCAGGCTCGTTACAGGATGGACAATGAGGTCAATAACAGGACATGTGACGTCATCAAGGATGGAAGGTTTGTGTGTTCCCCTCTGAGCTCTGTGAGTGATCATCATTGCCCCGCTTTGCCACACATCTGAAGCTATAGATAGTAGGAAAGGTTCAGTTCTATTCTCTACTGCCTGTCTGAAAACCTAATTGAAGGTGGAAGAGAATTGCTTAAAGGAGTAATTCAACGTTAATTCTCTGGGACTAAATCTGTGCTAAGCTTTTTGCAGTAAATTGCAGTTTCTGAAAGGCAAACCCACACCACACCAAGAGGTATTTTTGTTCTAAGGAAAGTTCAGTATTATAAGATTTATAGAGTGCATCATATTCTAGATTAAAGAGTAATCATTATTAAACTATCTTGATATTAGGTTCAAAGCCACTAAATGGAAAGATATTAAAGTTGGTGATATCATTCGTCTGAAGAAAAATACTTTTGTTCCTGTAAGTGCTTCAGATACATTTGTTTTATGTTTCTAGAGAGCTCTGTAGGAGCTTTGACCTGGCTTTATTTGATGTCTATTTATTTGTTTTATAGGCTGACATTTTGCTGCTGTCCAGCTCAGAACCAAACAGTCTGTGCTATGTGGAGACAGCTGAACTGGATGGGTAAGGTTCTACTTAAGGATGTAATGGAGCTAATTTGGGCTGAGTAGGAAAAGAGCAAGGATTGTGTGTGTAAGTCTGCTTGTTAAGCCGCACCTGGAGAACTGTATCCAGCTGCTGATTCACACAATTCAAGAATCATTAAAAATTGTCCATTGGAGTGCTACAGACACATCAAAAGTGTTGGAGAATGTGACGTAGGAAGAAAGGGGGAAGGACATGGATTTATTTTTTACTTTACTATAGGTTGCCCAGAGAAGTAGTGGTACTTTAATTTAACTGTGTTTAAACTTCTCTCCTGCATCCACGATTTTAATAAAATCACCTTTTTATCCTTTCTTCTTAGTGAGACTAACTTAAAATTCAAAATGGCCCTAGAGGTGACACACAGACACCTTCAGGAAGAAAGTGCCCTGGCAGACTTTGATGGTTGGTACAGTTCTACACCTAACACTATTAGAACATAGCTCAAGTAGCTTGTAAGTCAATAAAAGTAAAGTAAAGCTACAAATCAATGCATTTAGATTTAACTTGTACATTAAACACATTCTCCTCCATATTTTCTAGGTCTGGTTGAATGTGAAGAACCCAATAACCGACTGGATAAGTTTACAGGAACATTATCCTGGAGAAACTCCAGTTATTCCCTGGATGCTGATAAGATTTTGTTGCGTGGCTGTAAGATGAGGAATACAGACTTCTGCCATGGAATGGTCATATTTGCAGGTGTGTGATATTTCCCCACTAAAAGCACACCTGTAGAGTGGAAAAGAACCGTCATCCTATAGACACCAACTGCATTTCATGTCCCAGTTTGGTAAAACTTTAATGCTAACATGTGTTTGCATATCCTATCTTTTCCTTTTTTAATTTTTCACTCTTCATTTTTAGGTGCTGACACCAAAATAATGAAAAATAGTGGAAAAACAAGATTTAAAAGGACAAAAATTGACTCCCTTATGAACTACATGGTTTATACGGTACGCTCTTTTGTTTAAAATTCAGATTTAAGTGAATAGTGAATGCAAAGTTAGGCAGCTTCTTCCTGTGTAACAAATATGTTTTGACTTTTTTCTGGCCTGCTGAGCTGGAGTAGGAGGAAATCTGAAAGGTGTCTTTGTGGGAAATGTTTGCTGCATTTCTCCTCACAAATACCTGTCATATTCTGTTTGGAACACGAGAATTAAGTGGAGCAAATGTTTCTGAAGTGTGAGGCGTCTCTGTGCCCTGTAGATCATCGTGGTCCTTATCCTGCTGTCGGCTGGGCTGGCCATCGGACACACCTACTGGGAGCAGCAGATTGGCAACTCCTCCTGGTACCTCTACGATGCGCAGGACTTGAGCCCCTCCTACCGGGGCTTCCTCAACTTCTGGGGATACATCATTGTCCTCAACACCATGGTGCCCATTTCCCTCTATGTGAGGTAGGCAGTAGCTGAGGAACTGTCACTGTGTGGAAATGGGAGCTGCAGCTGGGACTGAGAACATTCCTTCTCTTTCATTTAGCGTGGAAGTGATTCGCTTTGGCCAAAGCTATTTCATCAACTGGGACCTGCAGATGTACTACCCTGAGAAGGACACGGCTGCCAAGGCCAGGACCACCACGCTCAACGAGCAGCTGGGGCAAATCCAGTACATCTTCTCTGACAAGACTGGAACCCTCACACAGAACATCATGACTTTTAAAAAGTGTTGCATAAATGGGCAAAGATACGGTAAGTTGTGCAAAGCCTGTGCAAAAGAAGAGGAGGAATTTTAATGCTCTTTGGAGATCATAGACACACAAGTTCTGACTGAACTTCCACAATTTACACCTGGCATTGGGTAAAGCATAGGATTGAATTGTTGGGGTTTTCCCACTTACAAAGTGGAAATTAAGGAACTTTAGTGGGAACTTCTCAGCTTTCAGAAAAACTGAAAATTGGTAATTTGCACAATTTTTTGTACAAATTTACTTTCATTAGAAATGCTTTGGGGACAAAGTCAAGAAGCAGACAAGGAAATTATAGTAAGAGCAGCAGTTTGTCCTTTTTCTTTGCTTTCAGTCCTAGGGCAATACATGTTCTAGCTATGTTTTACTTTGTGGTGGCTGTGAAAGCTCTGTTGTGCCTGGTCCCCCTGACTGTGGGTGCTTTTGCAGGAGACTGCCGGGATGCAGTGGGGCAGCTGCAGAGCCACCCAGAGGTAGGTCCATGTGAGCACCCAGAGGTGGTGGGTCCATGTGAGCACCCAGAGGTGTGTTCATGCAGCCACCGCTGTACCTGCTCCCTCGGCAGAGCACCGAGAGATGTGGGTGGGCACAAAGCAATGGCATCTCTGGTAACTCAGACTCTCTTCCCCTCTTTTCTATGCAGCAAGTTGATTTCAGCTGGAATGCGTATGCAGATGGAAAGTTCTTATTCTATGATCACTATCTGATAGAGCAAATAAAGTCTGGAAAAGAGCCAGAAATGCAGAAGTTCTTTTTTCTGCTTGCTATTTGTCACACAGTCATGGCTGACACTTCTGATGGTGAGTATGGCTTTTTGGTTGGTTTGGTTTCCTTGTGTAGCAGAAAACAATAATTCAAATCCAGATCCACAAGGGAGAGATCTGCAACTAATGCTGACAGCATAAGGGAGGAGTGTTAGGCTGCCCTTTTGAATTAAACAAAACTAAATGTAGAGGTGATCAGCTATTGAATTACTGAATTCACGGGTTGGAAGATTCGATTAAAACATGGAATATTAGTATTGCTTTACTCCCGTATTTGTGAAATCTCCATAAAACCAACAGTGTCCTGGTCCTTTCTTGTTCCTAATGTTTTTGGGGTTGTTTCCACTCACTGTATTGGTGCCTCTGGCCAAGGATTTGTCTTTTGGAGCTTCTTTTGAAAATGTTTATATGCTTGGATTGAGAAAGTAGGATATTGAGGTTTTGCTCTGCTGGCAGTGCTGCAGCAGTGTCCAGCCGTATCCTCAGCTGTATCCTGGCTCCAATCCTCCAGGTCAGCTCTATTACCAGGCAGCTTCCCCGGACGAGGGGGCTCTGGTGACGGCGGCGCGGAACTTCGGGTACGTTTTCCTGTCCCGAACACAGAACACCATCACCATAAGTGAGATGGGGGTGGAGAGGACCTACGATGTCCTGGCCATCCTGGATTTCAACAGTGACAGGAAGCGGATGTCTGTCATTGGTAAGCTGATTGACACCTGTGTGGAGAAAGTCACTTGTATTTCAGGGGTGAAGAGGGATGTGCAAAGGAAGCTGGGGTCAAGAATTGACAGCTGTGTGACAGTTCTGGGTGTGTTTGAGTCCACTGAAAAAGAAACGCCATCCTGTACTTTGGTACTTGGCAGTAGGCTGAAAATCCAATCGGAAATTATTCCTTTATATAAGGGTGCCATCTCTGCTGTTTCCCTCCACAGTAAGAGAGTCCAGTGGCAATATCAGGCTGTATTGCAAAGGAGCTGATACGGTGATTTACCAGCGGCTGCACCCCAGGAATCTAAAGAGAGAAGCCACAGAAGAGGCACTCGATGTATGTTTGTATTTTGTATGCTCTTTTCAAAACAAAAATTGTTTGTTTCTGACAATAGTGTTATAATTTCCTTTTCCTAAGCTACTAAGACAAATGGAAACCTGCAATTGGTTCTGAAAGTTGGACTTGTTCTGTCAAACTTGTCAAATGCTCGTGTTCTTACCCTCAAGTTTGGATTGCAAATGAAGAGTTTTCTTCTGTGTGGTTTTAATTCTTTATCAGGTCTTTGCAAAGGAAACTCTCAGGACACTCTGCCTGGGCTATAGAGACATAAGCCAGGATGAATTTGAAGTCTGGAATAAGAAGTTTGTGGAGGCCAGTTTGGCCACAAGTCACCGGAATGAAGCTCTGGACAAAGTGTATGAGGAAATAGAAAAAAACTTGATTGTAAGGAGCTGTACATTTTTAGTGTATTTCAATTCTTATATTAAAAGAAACATGTTTCAATGCTACTAACCACCTGTATTTCAAACCCCTTCCAGCTGCTTGGTGCAACAGCTATTGAAGACAAACTACAGGATGGAGTTCCAGAAACTATCTCCAGACTCTCCAAAGCAGACATTAAAATCTGGGTGCTTACTGGTGACAAAAAGGGTAGGGCTGCTTACAGCCAAACAACTAAAAACAGGAGGATTTTTTCCTGTTCATCTACACTGTGGCATTGAAAGGGAATTCTCATACTGAAACATAAATCAGAAATTACATAGGAGCGCTTGAGGTGCATCTGGCTGCTTCTAACCATTACTTGTGACAGAACTTTCAGTAAGTACTTTCCTCTCTTAATTTTTTTTTGGTAGAAACTGCTGAAAATATTGGATTTTCTTGTGAACTCTTAACAGAGGAAACGGCCATCTGTTATGGAGAAGATACCAGGCAAGTGAAAACACAGAGCAGTTTGTTTTCAGGATTTTCAGTCTGAGACTGACCTAGCTTAAAGCTTTTGCTTGACTTTTCTGTAAGTGTTTCTCCGTCTTTCCAGTACTCTACTTCAAACCAGGCTGGAAAACCAGAGGAACAGGGCTGGATCCAGTCCACATTCTTCTCTCAGAATGAACGAGCCCTTCTTCCAGGACAGCAGAGATCGGGCTCTAATCATCACTGGCTCCTGGCTGGTATGTACAAAGGCAGTTCTCCCGAGTATTTGGGATTTTGGGACACCACCGGGCTACAGTGTCTCTCCTTGAGGACTCTGTTCCTTTGTCTGCACAACCAGTTCATTAAAATGCCAGAAATGGATGCTGGGAGCATAATGACCTCAGGTGTGTTGTTAAGCAGTGCCTGGAGTAGGACTGGAAATGGTGCAGAAGGGAACATAGTAAGTGTTTTGTTTTTTTTTCACAGAATGAAATCCTGCTGGAGAAGAAAAAGAAGAAAAAGAAACTTAAACTGAAACTCCCCAGAACGGCAGAAGAGAAGAAAAAGCAAACAGAGAAAAGGAGAAGGGCAGAGGCCTACAAGGAGCAGCAGCAGAAGAACTTTGTTGATCTGGCCTGCGAGTGCAGGGCTGTGATCTGCTGCCGTGTGACACCCAAGCAGAAGGCCATGGTGGTGGAGCTGGTGAAGAAGTACAAGAAGGCCATCACCCTGGCCATTGGGGACGGGGCCAATGACGTGAACATGATCAAAAGTAAGGCAGCTGTCAAGCTCTCTGGCTAGGACAGATCTCCTCTGGCCTGCTCCTGCAGTCTCTCCACTGTCCCTCTCTGTCAGAAGACTCTTCCATCTGCTTTGCTGCCGTGGGGCTTTTTGCTTCTGTGCCAGTTTCCCTTTCTGAGGAAGCACTTTAGGAAATGGTTAGTGTTTTTTCCTGATCTATTTTATTTTTTTCTGTAGACATTCCCTGAGCAGGGACTCAAATCCCATCTGTTCTCATGCTGTGTGTTACAGAAGTGTAACATAGAGACCAAAGCAGTAGCTTGGCTGCCCCTTGCCTGGTGGCATTAGCCATCCCAGATTGTACCTGCTACTCTCAACAGCTTCCCAAGAGATCCCAGTGAGAAAAAACATCTAGGATAGGTTTTATGTCCCAAGGGTGTTTGTAAACTGCCTGGCCAGTTTGTTCAGGACTTTACTTGCTCTGTCTCATCGCTTGGTTCTCCTTTGGACAAATTTCCCAGGTGCATTCTGACAGAACAAGCACTGAGAGAGAATCCAGGTGACAGTAGAAATGTGGCCCCAGTCATGTTGCTGTCCCTTTGTCCAACGCAGTGTTTGGTGTTTGTCTCCTTCACCCAGCTGCCCACATTGGAGTTGGGATCAGTGGCCAGGAGGGCATGCAGGCTGTCATGTCGAGTGACTACTCCTTCGGGCAGTTCCGCTACCTCCAGCGGCTGCTGCTGGTCCACGGGCGCTGGTCCTACATCAGGATGTGCAAGTTTCTGAGATACTTCTTCTACAAAAACTTCGCTTTCACACTGGTCCACATCTGGTACTCGTTCTTCAATGGCTTCTCTGCCCAGGTAGGAGGGTGTGCTCATGTGGGATAACAACAAGCAGATGCTGCTTTCACTGTGGAACAGCGAAGGAACCTGGGAAGTGTCAGGAATGTGAAGTTGTCACCAGTGATTTCTGCAGGAAGATGTGATGAATACTGAGTGAGTTAGTTACAGGCAGTTAGGTATGGTTCCAGAGGACTAAAGTCAGGATCACTGTTGTACAGGAGTGGGACAGCTTAACACAGGCTAAAGAGCTTCAGCAGAGCCTTGAGCCAAGGTGCTGCTGCCTTTGGGTGAACACTGAGACAGGGAAGCTGTAGTAGAGCACATGTGAGTTTTCTCAGGAACTGGAGGGGAAGGATGTAATAAAATGAAATCTCTAAGTCCTGCAATTCCTCCTCTTTGTAGACAGCCTACGAGGACTGGTTCATCACGCTGTACAATGTGCTGTATTCCAGTCTCCCGGTCCTGCTTGTCAGCTTGTTCGACCAGGTATCCCCATGTTGTTACAACAGATGAATCCAAAGGTGTCTACCACCAGGTCTTTAAGTTACACTGAATGTCCATGAAACAAGAGGGGTTTGGTTTTGTGGCTTTTAAGAAAGTGTTCCTTTTACACCAGTCTGCAAATCCCTGCTGTTGGAAAGAGAAAGGGATCTGCCATTCACTTTGGGACACTATATAGTTGGGTGTCTATCTCACTCTTCAAAGCTTAGGCTGAGAACAACAATTCACAACTCTCTTTTTCTTTTTCCTCTTTATTAAGGATGTGAGCGACAAACTGAGCCTTCGGTTCCCCAGACTTTATGTTTTGGGTCAGAGAGATTTACTTTTCAACTACAAGAAGTTCTTTTTAAGTTTGCTCCATGGAGCTCTAACTTCACTGATCATCTTCTTCATCCCATATGGAGCCTACCTGAAATCTATGGGACAAGATGGGGAAGCCCCTGCAGATTATCAGTCCTTTGCTGTCACAGCAGCATCCTCTCTGATATTTGTTGTCAATTTTCAGGCAAGTAAGCTTGGTTTCCTGAGCTCTGGTGCTCTGAGAGCACTTTCTGCTCACTGTTGTAAATTTCTCTACTAAAAAGGTAACAAGATGCAGAAAGTAGTTGACATTATCTGGAATTAATAAACTCATTGGGTACTTTTGTTTGCTTTTAGATTGGCCTGGATACATCTTACTGGACTTTTGTTAACGCTTTTTCAGTATTTGGGAGTATTGCACTTTACTTTGGGATCACATTTGACTTTCACAGTGCTGGAATCCATGTTCTCTTCCCTTCTGTCTTTCAGTTCACAGGTCAGTCCTGGTCGTTTGTGGTTCTCAGTCCTGTCTCATGTAGCTTTGTCATAAATTAACTGCTCTTTTTATTCCCAGGAACTGCTCCGAACGCTCTGCGACAGCCATACCTTTGGCTTACCATGATTTTAACCATTGCTATTTGCTTACTGCCTGTAGTGGCACAGCGCTTCTTATTCATGACAATCTGGCCTTCGGAGAGCGATAAAGTGAGTGAAATCTGTGTTATTTGCGTGAATAAGGCAGGTGTTTGTTTACAGCGGCTGGTGCCAGTGCTAAGGTGTGGGCTAGTGGAAGGTGTCCCTGCCCATGGCAGGGGGTGGGACGAGATGGGCTTTAAGGTCCCTTCCAACCCAAACTATTCTGGGATTTTATAATGTTAGAGACAAGTGATGGTGCCCTTGGGAGAATGACACAAGCCTGGCTTGGGTGCTGTGGGCAGAGGAGTGGCCACAGGACTGGCCAGAGGTAGTGGCTCAGTGGGGGCTGTTTCCTCCTGTGCCTAGCTGATGTCTGGTGATGCCACCGAGACCCCACGAGGCTGCTGAGGGCCCCAGTTTGGGTTTAACTTAGCCTTGACTAGAGTGCCAGGGTTACATGTTAAGAGTGTAGGCGATAGGTTTGGCTGCTTCTGCTCTGCCTTGAACTAGCACATAGTTATGAAAACACTTCAAGCTGTGTTGATGTTGTCCCAATGCACGACCCGCTGTGTGTTTGCAGATCCAGAGGAACCGTCGGAAGTACCTGCAGGAGGAGCAGCACTGGAAACGGAGGCAGAGCGCGTTCCGCCGCGGTGTCTCCGCCCGCCGCTCCGCCTACGCCTTCTCGCATCAGCGCGGCTACGCCGACCTCATCTCCTCGGGCCGCAGCATCCGCAAGCGCCGCGCCCCGCTGGACGCCGTGCTGGCCGCAAGTGGCAGGGGCTCCGGGCACACGGGGGAGACCGGCTGATGGACTGACTGCCTGTGGGGAGGAGCTGGAGCACAGCGACTGCACAGAACTGTTCCAAACAAACTCAGCGTATTTTTTAACCGCCCGGCATAAGGATGTTAAGATTTTTATGTCTTATCACAGAAGTTTCTGGGTTTGTTCCTGGGAGCACAGAAAGACCAAGAGTTCTCCGTAGAGCTACTGATCCTTGTGTGACCACTCTGTATGACAGTGAAGGATCCATGTGCTGGGAATGGAAACCCAGCAGTGTCAGTTTTTAGTGATGCCTGGAATTGCAGACTTTTCAGTTCTTAATACTATGTTGGTATAAAACTGTATCTACATTTCATATTTGTCATTGAAAGCGATTTCGCTTGTGTGCTCCATTTCATTAATTCAGACACGATGGCACATGGGGTGCCCAGACCTGGAGCGAGCCCTGGCTGCTCCCATTGGAGCTGTCACGGCTGAGCTGGGGTGTCTTTGGTGATAAACTCCAGCCAGTGTCAGATTGGATTAGGGATCAGGATAGATCTCAGCTCTGGAAGCCGCCCCTGGAGCTGGCACAAGCTATTCATTTCAGTTTTGGACACAGTGATGGACAACTAGAAATCAGTTACTTTCATTGGAATGTATTTCACTTGCTGGTGCCTCAGTTCTTACAGTGTAAAAAGTATTTTTTTGAGTCTCTTTACATTTGCACATTCTTTACTCAAGTTGAGGTGTTTGAATGTCTCACATTTATCTACTTCCCCCTCCTGAACTAAAGCTAATTATTGAAATGGTTTTATAGTAAAAATTATGACCTACAGCTCTCATTCAATGGAATGTACATTTCAAAACTGTAAAGCAAATAAATATCCAAAAGTCTATTTCCTTGCAATGAGTCCGGGGGTTAGACTCGCCCGCGGACCGGCCCGACTATCCCGTGCCGTGTGCGGGAAAGAAGGGAAGGGAGGGGAAGGGAAGGGAAGGGAAGGGAAGGGAAGGGAAGGGAAGGGAAGG